CCAAGAGGAGAATGGAGGAGAAGGGATTGTAGCATGGCTATCCTCCCTGTAAGATGATTTCTTTCTTTCTCTCTCCTCTCTCATCTCACTGGTGAGCGCACTTGCCTTATAGCAACACACGTAAAAAAAAAAAAAAAAAAAAAGATTTCAGTCTTAGTCATGTGACTACTATCTTGGGATCCATCTTGAATTTCTAAAAGCTAGTATGGTAAAGATCTGAGTTGTTTGGTGGGTCCCGTAGCACAATGGTTAAGAGCCAAACCCCACATGACCAACCATGGTTTCAGTCCCAGCCCCAGTGGCTTAAAAAGCACATTGAGGACATGTACATTTGTGCCCTAAATAATGACAAGATGGAGAAATGGAGAAAAAATTGTGACATGACCATGCTCTATTGGGAAATTTTCCTCTCTCTCTCTCTCTCTCTCTCTCTCTCTCTCTCTCTTTCTGTTAAATGTTCACACACTCTGGCAATAAAGAGAAAGAGAAGATCTGTTGAGTTGTAGGTCCCACCTTGAAACCCTGCTCTGCCTTTTTCTAGATATGTTGCACTATAGCTGATTTTCTTTGTTCACATTCCTTAAAAACACTGAGTTTAAGCATCCTCCTGTCAACAACAGATGAATAAAGGACAAAATATATGTCAGATTTTAGGTAGCATTGGGCCACACTCGTAAGACATAGATTTCTTAAATGCAGCAACGTGTCTAACAAAATAAAGAAAAAGACACACAGGGAATGAGACTTACCACAGTATTCACATTCTCCCACCTTCCTTTGCACCTTGGTCTTCTCCATGGACTGTGGTATTTAGAGATTCATGGTGAGGAACATCATATACTATCTTTTTCTTAAAATGGACTTGACACAAAATGTACTTATGTGTTGAAGTCTTTGCTGACTTCAATCCTTTGATTATGCTTTGGGAACCATTACTGGTATCTTTTCTCAACTCATGGAGTTCAAGCTGGGTTGACAAGCTCCTACCCCTATCTGCAGTTCCCCAGGATGAGCACAGAACACAGATCTTGAAAAGAAGCATTTCCTTGGCTGTAGAACCTGATGCAGTAATGGAATATTGAAATAGATAAGACAATTAGATATATTAGATTGTCGAGAAGGTCATGACATATTTTTTTGTGCAAAGAGAAAACAAACAAACAAACAAAAACAGAGCCTGAAGATAGAGGAAGAACAACTCTGGCATAATTTGAGCATCTGGATCCAGTAGCACCTGAAGCCAAATACCTCTGGATAGTTTAATTATATGCACCAATAAAATAATTATTTTATGTATTTGTTTAAGTCACTTTGATTTCATTTTCTGCTGTTGATAACCAAAAGTGATAAAAATGTAGTAAGGGGAAAAAGTAGTAATAGGGAATAGCTGAAAATCAGAAGATATTTGTGTCTTAGAAAATGGCTTTTTTAATCTTCTCTTTAATATGTAAACTTAATTTTAGAGAGATGTTTCAACCAATTTAGCCAATTTGTTTCTTCTCTGACATACTTTTTTTTCTCCTAATGGATATGTTACGTTTTAGAAGATTGACTGTGGTTCCACAGAGAGTTGATTTTCTTTGTTCCTAATATCACAGACTAGCCTTCCAATGAATAAAAGAAAACTTTCTTTCACTGTTATCCATTGTGTAGTGAAAAATGATTGACTCCCTAAACAGCAGCCATGAGACCAGTCAATCTTGTTGATTCAACAAAAGTATCACCTGCCATCAAGAAATCTTTTCAGCTCCTGAAGCTAACTTGGAAAACATTTGTAATAATCATTGCCTGGAAATGTTGAGCATAGTTAAGGTTCTTTATCTTTCTTATTGAGCAATGATATGAGCAACAAAAGAGAGGAAATCAATCTAGAAAACAATCTGGAGCTATAAACATTACTTAAAAGAAAAGAATAATCACATTTCTGGATAGACTCAGTGGATATTCTGGATTTTACTGACCAGTTGTCAGTTTCAGATCTATTGCAAATTAAAATGAACATCATGAGGATTTCGGAGAGTTAAATATAAATTATATGATAGCATATACAGATTTTGTTATTATTAAAGTTATCATGAAAATCTAATTGATAATCAGAAATGCAAATTGGGGGCAAGTTTTCATTTGGATACATGAAAGATAATATCTTTAAGCTGCTAAACCTCAAATTTGGTTATATATTGAAATCTCTTGGGGTTTTAAAAAACCTGGTAATTGAGGTACAAAATACAAAGTACTGCCTGCATTAGGAGTATTTAAAAACCCCTAGGTGATTCTAATGTGCAAAGTTTGATGATAATTTGCTTTAAGTCACTACTTCTATAATTTTAACATTTATATAAATCATCTGAGAGATGTTATTAAAATCAGATTCTGGTTCAGTAGGCCTGGAGTACAGTCCAAGATTCTATATTTCTTTTTTCTTTCCTTTTGAATTTTTTATATTTTTTAGTTTTGCCAGAGGGCACATAAACTCGCTGGAGATAGACAGGTACATGAACTTGGTAGAGAGACAGAGAGAGAGAGAAAGAGAGGAAAACTGAGTAAGCACCCTCCATGGTGAATGGTCATGCTGCAATCCATTTCTCCCTCCTTTTGGTATTTTGGTCATGCATGCATACACACCTGGATGTTTCTCAAGCTGCCTGGTGCAGGACTCAAGCCATGCTATGGGCGATGTAAGATCTGCCTACCTTAAATACCAGGCCATGGAGCCTTTCCAGCTGCTCGGGTGATGGTGATGTTGCTGATTTGGGTACACCACGTGTTGAGTAGCAGGGCTCCGAAGGCACTGGTTACATTTTTTGAGTAAATAAGCATAGGGGAGTTTTCTCGTGGCTACCAACTGCCCACCTTGAATTAAGCTGGGAAATCTCCTGTAATGTAGATGTTTGTGGTCACTGAATTTGACCTGAAGAAGGCATTCTATTATAGATAGAATAATGGTTAAGTTGTTATTTTTGCTAATGGCTCTGCCTTTGCAGAGTCAGAGGACATGGGAACTGGGTGCCATGGAGGCCGTTGATTTCACAGCTTTGGGCTCTGGTCAAATGACTAACTGAGGCTTGGGCAAAGTAGGTAACCTTGACTTTTATACCTTCATCCATTCTTTCATCACTTCATTCATTCTTTCATCACTTTGTCTTTCCTCACTCTGGTCTACTGGCTCAGCCAGCCATCTCCCTGCTCTCTCTCTCTTATCTTCTTAGGCCTTTACTTCAACTAATAAAAAACAGGTTTGGAAAACTGGATGACTCTTTATCCAGTTGCACCAAAATAGAAGCCTTCTGCCTGACTCCTTGTTAGCAGGATGTTTGTGGATAATTAAATAATATTATGGTTTCCTGTTTGGCAGTAGAGGTGAAATATCCCTTTTTCCACCCTATGTTCAGAGCTCTACTGACATTTCACCATGGTCTACAACAACATTGTTTTTTAAAATAAAGGCATGGGTGCCAATATATTATAGTATGTATGCTAAGAAATTAACCCTAATTCTTGTTCTAAAACCAAATTCAAATTCTGTTTATTTGGTTTAAAAAAGAGACATAATAGAAGTAACAATTTTGAGGAAATTTTATTTTCTTAGCTGCAAAATCAACCCTAAGGAAGCAGTTTTCTTTGGTGAACATGTTTGTAAGTTGGGTTAAATGGGGAGTAGAGAATTTCAAGAGGAATGCTTGAGGAAAGATAGAAGTTTCTCTAGAGTTAAATAAAATGTATTTGTTTGACCAAGTGAGGTTATGAGCTGAGAAAAGAGCTGGGAACAGAAAAGATTTTTTGTAGCCATCCCAGGAAGAGGAAAGAGATGATATTAATGGAGAGATTTTTTTGGGGGCGGGCAGGTAAAAAATCAGCTATCTGAAGAAAATTTTAGTACATTTCTTCAACATAGTATGCACTAGTAGTCCTCTTCCGTATCTCTTTATATAGCTATTTCTCATTAATACATTGGGATATTGAAGGTCTATGTTATGATTTTAAAATGTAAAGTCACATTTCTCTATATTCAAAGCTTTCTTGTAGCTTAACATTGTATGCAGAGTAGAAATTAATGGCTTTACAGTGATTCACAAGATCCTACATGGTTCCTCTGTCACCTCATCTCTTTTATCTCACGTCCACACTCTCCTGTTCTTAGAACATGTGTCCACATTTCTTTCCTGTGGTCATTGCCTTGGCTATTCCCCCTCTCTAGAACACTCTGCCTCTACTGACTTTTAAAGACCTTGCTCAAATGCCTTCCTTCTCAGCTATTCAGTTTAAAATTGCAACTCTCCATCCAGCCTCTCGACCCAATTGCCATGCTCTATTTTTTTTTTTTGAGAGAGATTTTTGCTATAGGATGCACATACTTTTTAGAAACAGAAAACAATGAATCACATTCCCTCACCCTCCCAGGGAGGATGGCCATGACACAATCCATTCTCCTCTTGGGATTTTGGGTATGCACACACACAGACACACACACACACACACACACACACACACACACACACACAGCAAAAGTTTTTCTTAAGCTCCTAGGTCTGGGACTTGAACCACAGTCAACTACATGGGAGTCCAATAACATAACTATTACACCATCTGTTTGTCTCATCATGCTCTATTTTGATGTCTCATAGCACTTTTCTCAGTAGGTGTCAAAATTTATTTATATATTAATTATTCTCCTACACCCTCAAATGTAAGCTCCATGACAACCAGGAATTTGTCTATTTTTCTAATGATGATCTTTAGAACCTAGAGTGCATTCACTGAAGGGAGGAATGCATAGAAACACCATTAAGACTTCAAACTGCCCATAGGAAATCAGTCAAAACCAAATTATGTGGACACTGCTTATCATATTGCTTCTTACTAGTGACTCATATATATAGTAGATTGGAAATACATACATTTTTCCCTGGTGATCCTCCTACTTCAACACTGATATGTTTTAAGACACCTAATTACTCTTAGTTCATCTTAAAATAATTTGTTTATTTATTTATTTCTAGTGAGCAGCAAGAAAAAGAGAGACAGCATCTTGAACAGGGTCTTGACTGCAATTTCCCTATACACATTTGCATCTCCAGCCTGTAGCCACTCCTGGATCATGGGCACACAGATGCCTGGCATACTCAGGAATTCTATGGACTTGAACCAAGAACCTACCACATGGGATTACCTCACAGAACATTGCATTTTACTGCTGCACCACCCTCTAACTTCATCCTAAAATAATATTTTTGAAGCAATAGTATTAAGTGCTGAAAATAAATTTGAGGCTGTCCTAGCATGTGTTTATGCTTTGTTGATATCTTCATCCATCCCTCCTGTCCCTTCATTTCCACTAACTGCCAAGCCTTTCCAAAGGCACAATATGTAAATGGTTTCTTCCTACCCCAGGATGGGTCCACATTCTGAGTCCTATTTACTTCTTTGCCAGGTGTTCTACATCCACAGTGTTTCCTCTCCTTAGGATCTATAGCTAGACAGAAAAAAGATCCAAGGTGGACCAGCAGGTGGCATGGAGGTCAAGACACTGGATTTCACATGGCCTACTGTACAGTTAGAGTCCCTGACCCAGCACCTTGAAAATCACGTCAGGACATATGTGTCCAAAATCCCAAAAGGAGAACAAAGGAGAAGGAACTGCAGCATGGACACCCCCTTGAGGGGTGGTAATATCTCTCTCTCTCTCTAATAAGTGCATACACCCAGTAGCAAAACAGGAAAATAATAAAAAGATCAGAGGGTTGATTCTGACTGTGTAGTCCTGAGCCTATTATTTATATACTCTAAGCCTCAGTTTTTACGTCTGTTACATCGAGGTATTATTTCAGTTTTTTGATGCTTTAAGATGAGGATGATGATATTGAACTCACAGGCTATAGTAACTACATGGTGTTTCATGAGGCAGTTCATGATGAATGGGCTTGTAACTAGGTGGTAAATAAATGCTGCTTCTCCCATTCTTCTCTTTCCTCCTTTTATCTTCCAATCAATAATGCTATCATGAGATATTTAGGGTTTTTTTTTAGACTTATTTATTTGATTTTATTTATCACTACTATCATGTTCTAATTTTGTGACAGGGCATGTGGACTAGAGAGAGAGACAGACAGACAGACAGAAAGTAAGCTGCCAGGTCTGGAACTTGAACTGCCATGTGAGAATCCAGAGCCTTAACCACCATGCCACTTGCTAGCCCCCAAAATATTTAGTTTTAAAGGAACATTAAAGTAATTTGATTCAGCTACTCATCTATAAACCTGTTTTTGTTTTTGATTTTTAATGGCTAAAGGGTACATTCTCTGCCCCCCCTTCACTCCCCCGCTGAAAGAGAGAAACAGAGGAAAGGAGAAGAAAGAAATTTCCCTACCCTATAATTGGGGCATGATTATGCTGCAACCCCTTCTCCTTCATTTCTCTATCCTGTTGGGATTTGAGGCATACTTCACATGTGCCCAGTGTGCAAATCTGTTTTTCACCATCTTTGCAAGCAATCATCAATCATCGTTCCTCCAATAGAAGCCTTTATTGCTGCCAAAAGCAGCCTGTAATCTATTTTGGGTAGATACAACTACTGCTGTGTTTTATATTGAGATTGAACTGTTCACCTGAAAACTTCCATTCTTAGTCCTAATGTCTAACACTTGATGCTGTATAGAATTTTTTAAAAATAATTTTAACTGTATAATAGACCTTCAAAGAGTTTAAACTAGTTATTCTGTCTTTCTGTGTTTCTTATCACCCAGACTAATTCACCATTAGTCACTTTTGAGCAATATTGATTACTCCCCAAAAAATGACATTTTGATTTCCCTCTCATGACTCTCATTTTTTGTGAAACTCTTACCTCATTATATAGTAAAACAGAGTGGTTTAAGGACATAGCTATGTAGTCTGACTAAGCTTAAGCTTGAGTCTGAACCTGTCACTTATTAAATGTGAACCTAGGGAACATTGCTCTAAATTTCTGTGTCTTTATAAGTAACATGAATAACATTAGTACAGGGTATTCCATGGGGTCTGTTAGGGGTGTAGAAGCAGATGACTTTTTTTTGTTGTTTTTCATTTGTTTGTTTGTTTTGAGAGGTTTTTGGTATAGGGCACGTGCACTTGCCAGAAAGAAAGAGACAGAATGTAGGAAATCACCCCCCAGGGGGGATGGCCACACCATAATCCCTTCTCCTCAATTCTCCTCTCGGGATCTTAGGCACGCACGCATGCGCGCCCAGCGTGAGTTCAAGCCACTGGGTCTGGGACTTGAACCACGGTCAACTACATGGGAGTTCAGTGACATAGCCATTACACTAACTGCTGATCCCCCAGATGATGTTCTTGACACATTTAGCGCAATGCCTGACTTGTTATTGGTGAAATGTGAGTCAGCATGACTGAGCCCTGCCTGCTAGACACAACCTCTGTGGTATAAAACTAGAGCAAGACTATTCGCTTTCATTCTAGAAATTGATGTTTTACCTATTCAGTCTTAGCTAGACTTAAGTTTTGTTGTCATCTACATAATTCAATTCATTCTCATTTCATTTGGAATCAGTCATACTATGGTTGTAAGTAACATTTTCTCAATAAAAAAGTACAAATGCAAGAAGAAAATAATGAGTAGAAAAGCCCATGAAAAGCTAAGAAAGGGATCAGCTGGAGGAGTGGTGGTTAAGGTGGTCGGATCCTATATGGCTTACTACAAAGTTGGAATCCTTGACCTGGCAGCTTGAAAAATACACTGGGTATGTGTACATACATGCCCCCAAATCCCCAAAGATGGGAGAAGTGGAAGAGAAGCGATTACAGCATGGCCATTTTCCATACGAGGTGCTTTCTTATTTTCCCTCCCTCACTCTCTCTCTGGCAAGTGCATGTACCTTCTGGCAAATTTAAAAACAAAAGTTTTGAAAGTATGAAATTTAATTCTATGATTAGAGAGAGCATACATTAGGAAAATAGTTCAGTGAGGATAATAAGGATTAATGTATTCATTCACTCAGTTTTCAACAGATGTTTATTCAGCCTCAGCAACATTCTAAGCTCTATGCTAGGATCAAGTATGAGGGAGGGATCTTCAAAAAGTTCAAAAAATCCACTTTATGAAAAATCTATGTATACTATCAATTTTTCCTTCACCAACATACACTCATATTTTAATTCTATTTTTTCATAAACTTGTTGAAGGAAATTTCCTCATATATTCCCCCACCTCCCTTTTTTAAAGTAGGGATTCACTAGTTTGCAAGTCACAAGACTCTCCTGCCTCAGTCTTCCCTCCTCTTTCTCACTATTGCATTTTCAATAGTGGCAAAAAAAAAATAGTGGCAAGTACAACAAAGAACTAAATTCAATTTTATTTAGACTTATTTATCTTCATAAACCCAGATAGCAGAACAAAACACAGTGTGGCTTCATTTTATTTTAATTTCTATTATGAAATTTGAAAGCATATGAGATATAAATATTAATAAAGTCTGACTGCATTTTTTAAAGTGAAGTGTTGTAGATCTAAATTTTTAAAAAATCTCAGAGTTGCAGGATATTCATGCCAACACCTATCCATTGTGCTGAGTCTATTGCTATGTGGGAACACTGTGTAAGCTGGGAAGCACAAAAACTGACCAGCATTTGATAGAGCTTGTCTTGGATTATATGAGTTTTGAATTGTGCAAGAACTTTATAATGCATCTCTATCAGTGGGACTCTTCTAATATGTGATTATTCATCCTACTGTCTCTTAAAAGAGTTCTGAAAATATGGGTTTATTACAACCACAAGCTATTCTACAGTGTATTAGTAAGATAGCAAGGGATGACTTAGGATAAAGGCTTTTGGTCACAAGCAATTGATGGCAAAGTAATATAGCAATAGTGCATCGACCATGTGGCAGCAAGGAGTTGTCAACATGCCTTAGAATGGTCATAACTCTGAGAGTGATGACATTGTGCAAGCATTCAATAGAGTGGGGAAAGAATCCATAAAGAGACACTTTCACTACAACCAATCTGGAACAGCAGAAGGATGTTTGAGGACTTTATTCTAGTGTCTGAATATTGCCTGTCTGCTTCCAGGAAAACTTGATTGTTGAACTTTGGCAGTGAACACACAGCAGAAAAAGAATATAGGTATATGCCCATGTAGAAAAATGTAACTGTTAGGTCATCATGAAAGTCATGATGTGTTTTTCTGTTTTCTATGCAAAAATGAGTCATGACTTCAACCAAATAAAATATAAATACATACAATTATTATATATTAAAAAAAGTTTGACACAAGAATGCAAATTTTTATTGAGTAATTTCAGGAAAGAGCAAAACTGTCAGATTCCAAACCAATGTAAAATTAAAGGAAAGTCATTCCAAATGAGGGATTTGATTTTTACTCTAGAATTTTATATACTCTATGGTAGAGGCTTTAGGTCTTATCTTTTCTGCCCTAAAGCATAAAAGACATGAAACATATCAAAATCATAAATTTAGTTTCTGTTCTGCACACCACCAAAGGCATTCAATAAGTGTAATTCAGATAGCATGAAGTCTCTGTAACTGAAACATAGGGTGGAAGATGGTAAAGGGTTTTTTTTTTATTTTATTTTAATTATATTTAAATACATTTAATGTAGATAATGAAGATTTATGTGTTAGCTTATTTTTAAGCAGACGGGTCTAGTCAGAGCTTCCCACTGTAAAAGAGGAAGCAGTGTATTCTATAACAAAAGCATGGACTCAGGAACTAAATTTCTTTAGTGAGTATCCCAGCCATAAAATTGGTATAATAGTACCTACCTTTCAGGTTGTTATAAAGTCACAATAATATGTATATTCATAGAGCTTTGAATAATGCCTGATATATACTAAATGCTCAATATATATTACTTCTTATTATTATATCCAAAGTAAAATAGAACTAGGTAGCTCATAGTCTCTAAGAACTCTATCTAGTTTGCCTTTTAGTTTCTATTTAAAATTTTAAAAGAGAAATGTATGTAATAGAAGAGAATCAATTACCAAAAAATCAAAATAGGCTGCTTTTCAGGGTATGTATGATATAATCAAGGTTAAGCCCTTCCCTTCCTACACTTTTTGTCTCTGGACCATCCCAGATTTCCAACAAAAATA